GCCGAGGAGCCGTCGCCGCGGAGCCGCCAGCGGATGCAGGTCGGGCCGGGGCCGCCGCGCGCAGCGCCCGGGACCGGCACCGGGACCAGCACCGGCACCGGGACCGCGCCTGGTGGGGGGGGCAGCGGGAGGTGAAGAGGGCGGGTGGAGGGAGCGCAGCGTGAGGAGAAGGCGGGAAGGCGGGAGCGGGACCGCGGGGAGGCGGGAACGGCGGGAGCCGCGGTGCGGAGAGCGGGCCGCGAGCGGGGCGCGGGAATGGCGGCAGCGGGGCTCGGGGGAGGCGATGGGGGCAGCGGGCGGGAAGGAGAGCCGGCCGCGCGGGAGGGGACCGCGCCGCGCTGAGCTGCCGCCCCGCTCCGCTGTCCCCAGGAGCGCACCCCGCCGGGCGGCGCCGAGCCGCGGCCCAGCCCCGGGCGGCCCGCGCGGCCCCCGGGCGGGCGGCAGCTGCGCGTGCTGCTCACGCCGCTCGCGCCCGCCGGCCGCCTGCCCCAGAAGCGGCTGCTCGGCCGCTACGAGGGCGGCGGCGGGAAGAGGCCCCGCGCCGCGGCCCCGAGCGCCCCCGCGGCGCCGCCCGACAGCGACGGCAGCGAGCGCAGCGACGGCAGCGACGAGGGGGACGAGGGGGACGCGGGCGCCCAGGTGAGCGGCGGGAAGCGGCGGCTCCGGGCGGGCGAGAGACCCCCGTGGGGCCGTGGTTTTGATTAACCGGCTTTAATAAATAACCCCCTCTTAGCTAGTTAGGGCTCTGCCTAGGGGCCCGCTTTAGCCGAGCTTGGGCAGCCCGCCCTGTCTGTGCAGACGCAGTGACCCTGAGGGGTTCCTCAGCTCCGCTTTCACARTCGGCGTTTATTCACTTACCGATTTGTGCTGTTGTTGGTTAGCGAGCACATCGAGCCGCTTTGAAACGAGCTGGGCCCGCGGGTCCTCAGGAGCCCGGGGTCCCCAGCGCCCACACAGCGAGCAGGGCCGTGACGGCCTTTCCTTTCCCTAGGAGGGGTTTGCACACTTGTCGGCCTACGAAAGGAAGAGGCTCAAGAACATCACGGAGAATGCCAAGTTCTTTGCTTCCCTCAAGCTGCACGAGGTTTGTGTCCCGATTATGGGAGAATTATATATGTATATGGGTCCTATGTAGGAATTATATGTATGGGTCCTATATAGGATGTATCCTATGTATAGGATATAGGAMCCATCGTTCTTGTTGTGAAACCCTTGGCTAAGTGATAAGCGTCTGAGGAGAGCCATGGAAACTTCCCAAGGCATCAGGACTGCCCGAAGTAGTCTCTGAAGAACTGAGATTATTTTTATGTCACCTGTTAGATTTTTTTTTTAAGAAGGGAAACCATTAGTTAGATCTAGAAGAATTTAGGGAAAAAAAAAAAAAGCARAAAAGAAATGCCGTGCTGGTGCRTGCAGGCAGAGCCTCTGATCCTGCAGGAGCAGATGCGGTGGCTCTGGTAACCAAACACACCTAAAGTCATCCTTCACGTGGCTCGTGGAGGTGCCCGGGCAGCGTGGCTGGCTGCTCGTGCCCCGTCCTGCCCGTTCCCGTGCCCCGTCCTGCTCGCAGGATTCCAGGCGGGGCAGTTTCAGGTTGTCAGGACCGCTCGGCTCACGGCCCCGGGTCTCTTTGGGAAGAGGCTTGCAGGGCTCGGGCGGCTGGACGCCCTCCCCGGCCTCAGATCCAGCCTGGTGGAAGGGCAACGCGTGCCTTGTAATGCTGTGTGTYCTGCGGAGAGAATTTAGATAGCTAAAATAATAGAATTTAAAATGTTACCTGCTTGAGTGGATCCGGTCCTTTGCCCTTTCTGCACTGCCTCTCTTCTGCCTTTTTAAAACTCAAAGTGCGTCCCTTTTCTGGCAGCAGCGAGTGAATTCCTTCCTGGAGCGGCTGCGGTTCGCTTGCCCGTGCCAGGTGGCGAGAGGTGGTTGGGCACCAGGAGGAGGCAGTGGGGCTCGTCACCACCCAGGGAGCACCTTTTCTGCCCCTTACCCCAGGGAGCAGAGCAAAGAGCCGCAGCGTCGGCGGCCGCAGAGCGGCGGAGAGCAGCAAAGGGGGCTGCAGGCCCCCGTGTATGTAATATGTATGTATTACACACATATTATATGTATGTATTACATACACAGGCCCCCTGTGTATGTACACCCCAAAGGTGATAGAGAGAAAATGTGGAGGGAGGCCTTGGTGGCTGCAGATTCTCCTCTGAATGGCACAGTGTGCTGTGTATCTTTTAGTGTATTTTCTTTGCTTCATGCATGGCATACATTGCATTCATTGCAAAGAAAGCGTGCACAGAACATGCAGACAGGCAGTGCTCTTTTCCTAAACGCCAGTTGCACAAATGAGGGAATTCTCAGTAGCATGTGGAAGACCAGTGCAAAGCAGAAACAGCACAGCTTAGTATTTAAAGATCCCTTTTTATTATTGCTTTGTAAACAATTATGATAGAGTTTATTGCAGCCTTTAGGTAAYGTTATTTTGTATATTTTTTATGCTTGTTACATGCTTTTCTTAATTCTTTTTTTTTTTCTGCTTTTTAAGTCAGCTGCAAGACTTCAACAAATTGCAAATAAAGTACAGCCTCACGTCACCAAAAGGTAAAAATAACTGTGGGATTTGTRTCCTCGTTCCTTTGGTGTGTTTTASCTGGCGAGAAGTTCCTCTCTAAAGCTGTRTCTGAGGAATATTATTTGAAACTCTCTGAAATCATGAAAAGCCAGATCCCTAGGTAGTTTCTTTCCCCTGCTACTCTTTGGGGGGAAAAATGTCAGTGTGAMTATTACATCAAATTACAGAAGTTATTCTTTTTGTGATATGTGTTTTAAGGCATTTCAAGTAAATTCTTGAAATACATTTCAAGGTTTGTTCTTTATTTTACAATATTTTATGTGATGGCTAAAAGAAAATAAATGTTAAGTAATGAGAGTAAATAATAAAAAAGSGAGTGGAAAAGAAGGAGGGGAAGAAATAGATACAGGGAGAAAGGATTGCTAGTAAGTATAAAAGAAATTGCTTTTTGCAATGCCAAGCAAAGCAGAAAAAAACCTTAAGCACAGAATAAAGCTGCATACATGATGAAAGAAGGTGGATAAAGAAGACTAGCTCAATGAATAGAAACATGGTGGAGCRGGCGGGAAGAAAAGCAGCAGTGGCAGGATGCGCTGAAAGCAAAACAAAAAATGCATATTTATTGCTAAGTGGGAAAGCTGCTGTCTAACTTTGCTTTCGTTGCTGTTACTGAGGGAGAAGGGAGTCGGGGCATTCCTAGCRGGAACGGGACTGCTGCGGTGTTGAAGCGGGGCTGAGCCCGCGTGCCCGGCCCGGCTTCACCGTGCGCTCTCGCCCGTTTGGCACGCTGCAGGCCCAGGGCCAGGAAGGCCGAGGAGGAACCGGTGCGCCGCAGATCCATGCGCCTGCAGAGAGCGGAGCCCGCGGCGGCGCCCGCGCCAGGAATCCCCGCGCAGCCGGGAGACGAGGAATACGTAAGAGGGGCAGGGAGCGCGGAGGCGGCCGAGCCGCGCCGGCTGCTGCTGCTGYTCGGCGTTGCCGGGCGTTTCACCCCCAAACCTGCAGCCACGCGGGCGGCCCTGGCGCAGATATCACTGATAAAAGTGAATTCTTCTGCCCTCGAGCTCCTTGCATAGGGGGCCTCTCGGTCTCCGCTGGAAGGTGGTCAATGTTCTTTGAGTCCTGTTGATGAAATGGGGAGGTTTGGGATGATCTGTAGGGTCTTGAGGTAAAACGTGCAGTTTTCAGCTCTCCGTGTATTCTAAGCAACTGTACATTCCAAGTTTTATTGCTCTTCTAATGTTACTGCAGTGTAACATTTTATAAGGTTTTTTTCCTTTGAAATATTTACTACTCTATTTAAAGTAGTTATATAGCAACAAGTAAACATCCTATTACCTGAGRCTGGAATTTCAGTCTCGCGCATTGCTGCAGGATAAAGGTATCCCCATTTGATACGTTTCTTCAAGATAAAGCTTGCGGGGTATCGGGAAGGACAAATCCTGGGGCAGCTATTTGCCTTTGCTGTGCTGTGTAACAAAGTTCGTTTGTTTATTCAATAACTAATTTTGATACAAACTTTTTATTGTTTGTTTCTTGTAGTCCGGTAGCTGTGTCCTCAGAATAGCTTGTGTGTGGAGAGTTAACAACTCGCCCTGTTCATTGGTTTAGTTGCTATGTGTTGGGAATATGACTGGTGTCGTTCCAGCCTCGAGTTCCGCCTGGGCCTCTCTCCATGCTTCCAGAGGATCAGAAAGAGAACAGCAAGGTGGCRGAGGAGTTCCTGGCTGTGTGGACAAGGATAAGCGAGGTATTGCTAGCTTTGTGAGGTATTGCTAGCTTTAAGTAATTACTTTTGGATAACGTAATTTAACCTGAATTCTAAATAATCTAACATCTATTTATTTTCCTTTCTACCTGTAGATGAAGCCTAATGATACAGAAAAGCATTCACGTGACATGGAAAGGTAATCTGAAAGCAACACCTGGAAAGCAGGTACTGCCTCGTTCTGCCCTTCTTGTGTTGAATAACCGGTATCTTGCTGACGCCCAGATACGTGTCCAGCCTGARCAGCATGACCCTCAGCGAAGACGGCGTTAAGAAGGTGGTGAAAACCCGAGTGTGCTCCATGGCCATCCACCCCGCGGACAGCACCCTCTTCGTGGCCGCTGGCGACAAGCTGGGGCAGATTGGGCTCTGGAACGTTGTGAGTCACTTGGTGCCGCGTCCCGGGCACAGCCACTGGTGGCAGGAGGGGAAAAGCTGCCGGAGGCTCTGCCTGCTCCTGGGCAAGGCCCACGCTCACGGGGGGAGAAGGTTGGGCTCGGGTTTATGGGGAGAACACCAGTCGCTGGCAGAAAGAGTATTATCAACAAAGCTAAAATTACAGTTCACTGCTGAGTGATTCAGGGTCTCATTGCAGGACCCCTATAAACTGCCATAATTAGGTTTTRGAGCATGAGGGGAGATGGATGTACGTGTGTGCAGGGTGGTGGTTGCTGCTGTGTGGTTTGGTTTGGYTTTGAGTTCGAGGGAGTTTGGGATAGTTTCAGAAAATCACTGTTGTTTCAGAAAGTAGAAATAAGATTGCGATGCCAATACGTGATGGCACATATTTACATGTACTGTTTCCCACTGTTTTTGAAAAAGAGCTGAGCATTTGGAGGTTTGAAAGCCTTGGGAGCTTTGCAGATAGTTGGTGTTTGAATTGTCTTGGTCCTGCAGCAGTTTCTGTCGCTGTCTTGCAGCGCTCCAACCTCTGCTGTGGTGCAGTGCCATCCAGTCTGGCTGCTTGCAGTCCACACAAACGTGGATTTTCCAAATGCCGTTAACCTCCCCTTTGGAATCTGTCTTGAGTCATGTCTGCTTTGATAGCTTCAGGAAATCAGTTGACTGTCTTTAAGAATTTTGTTCAGTTTTAAAAATGCTCTGTACAATGTAGAAAGCTCAGACCGTGCAGAAGCTGTTAGTGCCCGTAAAGGACTGTGATGTGGTGACTGGTAGGCTCACATCTCTGAATGCTACAGCCTCTCTCTGGTGGCCTGGCTACGTTAATGCTGCTTTTCCTCTCTTGCTCTTTGGTTTTGTTTTCCCAAAATRGGTTGGACTTTACCACATTTGGGAGCAGGGTAACCTTTGTGGAATGAATTGGTGCTTCCTCCCCAATGGACTATTTCTTTTCCTTTAAAGTGTCACAGCTGCAATGGTATCAGTGTTGGAAGAGCAGATTTGGGTTATTTATAACAGGCATTCAATTTTGCTTAACGTAATCTAGCTTGAATTCTAAGTAGCCCAATTCTGATATTTCCTTTCTCTGATATGAGTGGCACACGTACATATGTGTGGTTGTCAGCGAGGAATTCGGATATGGTGACAGAGAAACCATTTCTGTCGAGTTTCTCTAATGAACTGCACTTAGATTGCAGCAGGAGGTTGCAGCTTTTCCAGTCTCWGCAATAGAATTCTGAAATTGGGTGAAAATTCATCGTGGTCTTTTGAGCTGAAGTCCTTGTGCGGTGGCRAGAAGGGTCCTGGCCATTAGCCTGGGCACGGCCACGCGGCTGGAGCCTCCGATAGCTGTTCTCGTGCAGCACCTCCACACCCCACTGCTGCTTCTCCACCGCTATTTAGAATGGACTGAAAACACTGGCAAAACAGCTACATTAATTTGAAAATTGTAATAATTAGGAGAAATACCCAGAGTGATTAGCGTCTGTGTCCATCACATCTCAATTGTTCTTTTCAGGACTGTAAGACTGAGGAAGGAACCCATGTCTTTATCCCACATAATTATCCGGTCAGCTGCATGCATTTTTCTCCTGCTAATCCTGCTCACCTGGTGTCTCTGAGCTATGACAGTCTGCGATGTGGGGATGTTACCAGAGCTGTCTTCGATGAGGTGAGCGTTGCCTATACTGCGCGTTCCTTAGAAATCCTTAAGAAGGAAATCCTGAGAAATCTCTACGTTGTGTACTCCCGTGAGGGCTTAATTTCACTGCACCCAAATTGGGTTTYGTCAGTGGTTTTGTTAATAAGAAAKTTGAAAATTCYATTTCTGCAAAGATGCATGAAGTATAATTAACATTTTGAAAGGTGGAGAGGCTTCCTAGTCGGTAAAACACAGTGACATCCTGGGCACTCCCAGTTTCCTTCCTGCACAGGCAGTTGCAATTTCATACAGAAATTGATTTCGTGTCTCCTTACTAAGGCAGTATGTGCCTCTCTGCTTTCTGAAGAGAGAACCTCTTAAAGATAGCAAATGAAAGCAGTTTGAAGAGACAAATCTTACAAAAAGCTGTCACAAAGCACGAGGTGACTGTTCTTCTCACGCTTGAAGTGAGCAAATGCGGTGGCTGTTTGGAGCTGGGCAGAGGAGCTGCAGAGCTTTTGATGCTTGTTTGCTTGCTTTGTTTCTTGACAGCTTTGTCTGCCTTGATCAGGCCTCCAACATYAGAAAACATAACAGGCTGCTGCAATTTACAGCTTTTTTTTTTCCACCCCCTCAGAAGCATCATGATCTTGTGGGGATCTGCAGGCCAGCCAGCTGCTTAGCAAATACCTGCAGTTGGTAGCTGAGGGATCCAGGAAATTCATTCTTGATCCCTGCACTCACAGGAGTGTGTGGAGGGACCTTGGGAGAGAGCTGCAGTTTTCCTGCCCTGCCTGCCGTGTGCCAAATTACATGGCTTGGTGACACCCCTGACTATTACTGACRCTACGGAGAAGAAAGCTGTTCATAGGGACCTTGTGAAAGTTTTACAGAGTTCGGAGGATTTTGCTTTCCATTTGGCTTTGGTGTAGGTGGTTAGTTATCTCCTCCGTGAAAAGCATGCTAATTTTATGGAAAGGTTATCTAAATGAAGAGCTAAGGCTGGAGCTATCAAATTGGGTTTTGTCCGTTAGCATTTTTAGTGTATAAAAGTGTTCTGGTTATTATGAATAACAGTGTGTTTAGTTGCATCGTGCCTGTTTCATTTTGGCCTTGTCTATGCTCAGATCTGCAGGAGCGAGGAAGACTTTTCTTCCTTCGACTTCTTGGAAGAAAACGCCTCCTCGGTGCTCGTGGGGCACTGGGACGGCCGTGTGGCCGTGGTGGACATGCGGAGCCCCGGCGCCTCTTCGGAGCTTTCTGCAGACATTGGCTTCAAAAGGACGAGGACGGTCCACGTTCACCCCGTGCAGAAGCAGTATTTCATTGCGGCTGGCTCGCTGTACGTACCTCCAACAACCTGCAGTCGGCCAGGGCTTTACGTGCCCCTTTTGCACTGCGTTTTGCTAAAAAAGGCATGTTTGGAGAGCAGGATCGGCTGGTGAGGAGGACACTTCATCAGCCTCAGGACATATTCAAGTCCTCACTATCTTTCTAGAAAACAAGTTTTTATGTCTAACCAAAAATAAGATGTGATACTGACTTTACCTATTGGTAATGGGTTTGACATGGTCCTTTGAGTTACTGAGTTGTTTTGAGAGAAGATCACATCACATTAACAATAATTGCTGAAACTAGATTCTAAGCACAACGTGCATAAAACCTGTGCTGATCTCCAAGGATTTTTTTGATAAAGGGAAAATAAGGCTGCGGGTTGTCACTTTTTGAGTGTCACCTTGTGAAGTGCTGCCCGTGCCGTGCGTTACAGGGACGTCTGCATCTACGATGTCCGGTACCTGAGGCCGAAGGGCAGCAAGCCCGTGAGCACCTTGCAGGGACACACCAAAAGTGCCGCTTCCGCCTACTTCTCGCCCGCCACTGGAAACAGGGTGGTGACCGTGTGCGCTGATGATAAGCTCAGGTAAGAGGCACGGAGGGAATGATCATGGAATGCTTAAGGTTGGAAGGGACCTCCAGAGGTCATCTAGCCCATAGATCTTCGTGGAAAACGCCCCTGGCATGTGGGGTGGCTGGTTGGTTTGTTTTCCTGGTGCCATTGCTGAGAAGGTTTTATCTTTGTCATTTGTTTTCCTGAACTTTCTGCGTAGACATTTTTAATATTGCATGCTCTTTTGATTTTTTCTTTAATTCTCACTTTCTTTTAGAATGTTTAACAGTGAGCAGTGAAATATTCAGGTGCTGTTGGACTTAAGTGAATGGATAATGAATATGAACAGTTAATGTCTGGCGAACACTGTTAATGTCTGAATATATTTTTGACTGTTGTACCTTTCAAAAGAGCTAGTGTGKTTTTTTTATGTTTTCTGCCATTCAGTAATTAAAACTGTGGTGGTGCATTGAGCTYGTTGAGCTGTATTTTTAGAGACCTCTTCTTTTTTTTCTACTTTGTCAATTTGTGACCCTAGTTCAGGTTATCTGGCCATGTAAATAGGTAGTTGCCTCTGTATATTGGCTGAACAGTGGTTTAAAAGTCTTAAATTGCCCCAAAYGATGGTAGGTGCAATGTGAGAGGCCCAGCTCGGGGCAGGCTGAAAATCAGGCCCCGCAGGGATTGTGTCTCGTAAAGCTGCCGTAATTACCTGCCCTCTGGAAAGAAGGAATGTGCAGATAGTGTAATTATCATAGCATTATTATACCTGCTATTAATTAACATGTCTTTGTTGTGAAGGATCTATGACACCAGCTGTTTATCATCTACCATTGGAGTTCTCAGTGCCATCAGGTAAGCTAAGCACTGGGTTGCTTTTTAATGTTAAAGAGCGTGTTTTTAGGTAGAGTCCCAATATCTGCAAAACAATTTTATGCCCTAGAAGGGTGAATCATGTTAGGAATGGAGTGTTTTGAAGTGTTTGGTTTGCTGTTCTGGYGACTTGGTTTCTCCTTTTACTAAAACAAGCAACCATCGTGTTTAAATACTTTTGGTAAATAACTGTTCCTGTCAAAGTGTGGTTTGCTTTGTCTTTTTGCTTTATTATGTCTTTGTTCCATCCCAGCACTCATGGTTTGCGAGGCAAGAAAGGGGGATTTAAGCAGAAGTGACATAAATGACAATTTAAAAAGAATGGATTTGATAAGAAAAATACTTACCCCTTTCTTTTTCTCCCATTTTTTTTCCCYCAAAGACACAACAATAACACAGGACGCTGGTTAACTAGGTTCAGAGCAATATGGGATCCCAAACAGGAAGACTGCTTCGTGGTGGGCAGCATGGCACGTCCGAGGCAAATAGAAGTCTTTCAGGACACAGGAAAATTGTTGCACTCCTTTTATAATGTTGATTATCTTGGTTCTGTGTGTTCCATTAATGTTGTGCACCCCACTAAGAACATCTTGGTGGGTGGCAACTCCAGTGGTCGCCTTCATGTGTTCAAAGAATGAAAAATGTTGCTCAGATCTGTATTTTTTTTCCTTTTTTTCCCTTTTGCATGGAAGTGTTTAATTTGTACTAAACTTTTTTAAGCTAACTCTACACTCTCAGGATAAAAGTGTATTTTGAAAGGTTTAAAATAAAATTTCTAAACTATATCTAGCCTTCTGTTATTAAAAAAGGTATTAATCCCRCCATGACAGCCAGTGATAATGGTTTTTATCAAAACAGATTTCTTTTTCCCCAAATATGTAAGCCATGTTTTGAAAGAGAGGAAAGCAAACCAGTAACCTATAGGGTTATTGGCTAATATTGGTTACATTAAATATATTGGTTATATTAAATATATGAGAGGTCTGCTGCAGAGCTTCACTGTACGAGCGGGCGCCCTCGCTGACGGTGCCGAGGTGCTGTTGCTGCCGTCTCTGGCGAGGTCGGCGCGTGTCCCGTGTCCGTGTCCTCAGGGAGTCGTGCTCGTCGCTGTGTCGCCGAGCCCTCCCCGGCCCCCCGCGAGGGTCTTTGGGGGCGCTGCTGGTGGAGGGGTTGCCTGCWGCTGCGGGGCTGTGAGCTGACCGCAGCAGCGCTCGGCGGCTCGTGGGGTGCGYGAGTAGGTGCCCGCCGAGCCCCCCGTTTGCACCCGCGAGCCCCCTCCGTGACTGAGGTGATGGGGCAGCTCGTGGGGGTGTCGGCCAGGCTCGGGGTGCTGGTGCGTGCCAGGGTCCCTGACAAAGGCACTGCTAATCACGAGCGCTTCCGAGCAGCTGCTGCTCCGTAAGCCTGTGTTCATGCACTCCCAGCACACGGACACGYGGGGATTAGAACACGAGCGGGCTGCACGCTCTGGACCGGGCTTAACCCTGCTTTCTAGGCGGGGTTTGACAGAAATGAGGTGTCGTCCCCATGCTCTGCAGAAGGGATGCTCGAAGGGCGAACTCCTCGGGGACTCGGCACCTTTCCCCACTCGAGCAGAAAACCAGCACTGACACCGTAAGTGCTAACGAGCCGGCTTCGGGATTCACCTCGGACAAAAATGCCAACTCTTATTTTCATGATATTGAAATATTTATTTAAATTTAAAAATACTTTTCATGGCACCAATGAGTTTATGCTAACTAAGATATTGAATATGTAGAAAAAGGTACAGTTTGAAGGAAAAAAATGTAACTTACAGTATTTGGCACATGAAAGGTTAATTTCTAGATTTTTTTTTTTATGAAAACTAAGAAATTCACATTTTCAGGTATTTTACCGTCTACTGCTTAAAGATGCAGTATGCTATTAAGAGTTGTCTTCGGATATAAGAGTCTGTGGAAACAGCATTTTAATATAAAGACAGGTAAAACTAACAGGTAGTGAAACACAAGACAMCGTGGGACATACAGGAAAAACATACAACGAAAAGATATCAGTTCTCATGGTTTTACAGTAGGATGCTGGGTGAAAACTGCAGAGGTAAACTAGGTTTGGCATTTATAGCTAGTCTAAAAGTAAGCTGATGTAAAAGATATTTTTTTTTTTTCCAAGGTCAATCCGTCCTATGCTGCCCTGTGTTTTCAGGAGGCTGGCTAACGCACCAAGGCTTTGGAGCTGGCCGTGTCACCGCGGGACAGGGCGACGCTGTTCGGACAGGACACCAGCAGCAAGGAAAAGGATGGGATACTGCATCTTTAGCCTGGGGTGGGAAATGTCAAGTTTGAGACTATCACTCACTGCATAGAAACACCATTTACTACGGACTGAGGTAGGAACACTACACTAAAAGTTAATTCGGCTATGTTGCATAAAACAGTATATCATGTAAAAACCTAAGCTCGGTCTCCTGGCGGCAGTCGTCACGTAAGCTGCCTTCCAGAGCGTTGGTCAGTGTATGCGAACCCCTCGCAGCGTGTGTGATGATCGGATGGCTATGGCTAGGTCTTGAGCGGTGAGACACAACTGCTTTGCGTTGAGTTTTTTTCCCTGACAGTCAGTAGTTAAAATGGACTTTATTTATTGCAGTGACAAGCCAGCAAAGCCCACGGTTCTCGCCCAACCTGCCCCTGCCGGGTGTCCCGTGCAGCGCTCACAGACAGCGGCGGGACAGCCAGGCTTGAAGAACTGCGGTTATGGCCCCAGCTTATGTAAAATCTCTCCCTGAGATGAAATTAAACTTGCTTGCCTGTTTTAATTTTCTTTGTTAAATGCTGCAAACTTCTCGATTAAAAACTTCCTTCCACTAGCGTTTATTGCTCCCTTTGTAAATAGAGTGTTCTGCTTCTCAGGTAACTAAGGAGTCCCGTGTTCATGTKGCAAGGAAAATGAATTCGTTTTATTTGTGTGTTTTTGCTCAAGGGTAGCTAGGTTAATGGTTGCCCATTGGCTTCTCCTTTATTTTCCTTTTTCCTCCAGTGTTACCTCCAGTTCTGTAGTCCTGGCCTTTTTACCTCCAGCAAAGTCAGAAAACCACAGCTCCGTTCTTCATTCCAAAACTAGTTACGGGTTAATCTGATGTCAGGAGTCCACTCTACAAAAGCGTTTATTCCCAAACCATTTTCTCCACTTGAATCACTTTGTACAGCGCGCTACGTTCACCCAATCCATAAAGTAAAAAAAAGACTCGATTAGCTCAATAACAAAATAGCATTTTGTTGTTAAAATATACGTCAAAACAGTCTTTTTTTTTTTTTTTTTTGTACAAAACGAGTACAAGGTTGAGGCCCAAGGTCTCCCTAAGGGAGCGCGGGGGTGGCTGCTGGCTGCGCGCTCGGGGCGCCCGGCGGCACCGCGGGGACCCCCGCGGCTCCCGGCACCGGGGTGCAGGGCGGGGAGGGTCCTGGGGGACCCTGGGGGCGGCCCGAGCGCCGCTTGCCGGTGCCAGCAGGACCCCGGCGGGACCGGGGCGCTCGGCCCGCAGCCAAAACGGGGCCGCGTTCGGCGGCGAAGCGCGCGCGCCGGAGCCGCGGCTCGCTAGCACCATCGCTGAAGCTCCTGCCCGCTGCGCCAGCCCCAGCGCCTCGGCGGCCGCCGGAGGCCAAGACAAGAATCGGTAGCGATCGTAAAATAAGCTCCTCTCTTTATTTGATGCTTCCCAAGTCATACACGCAGCTACGAGCATCGAAATTAAAACCTGCCGCTGGGCTGCGGGCTCCGAGGTGGGAAACGGAGCAGCTGGGTGTGATAGGAAAGAGGGTCTGCAAGGAAATGTGTCTGACCGGGTTATGATCTATCCCTTTCGTCGGCTCGGAAAGAAACGTCCTGGGCCGCACTGCACTTTGAGTCATGAAAGAAGGACTTAGTGTGTGTGCCGATGGTGCCACAAGGGTCCCATTGCTGGGAACAGGTAGCCGGGATCTTCCGAGTCCACCTGGCTAGTTAGGAGGAGACTCCTGCCTTCAGGTGTCAATGAGCAGGCTTACCACGGCGCGGATTTTGCAGGCAAACCATCGCCTGAGGGGACAAAAGTATTGATAATGGAACTGTTCAAACTCGGGGGTCTGGCGAATATCACGGAAAAAGGCAGTGTCAAGGTCAGACTCGGTAAGGACGATGAGGAGGAGGAGCAAAACAAAGAGGAGTCCCACTGTCACAAGGAGCAAACGGAGGACACTTAAAACAAACTTATTCACCTGTGGGGCCTGCGCGGCGCCGCCGGGGCCGAGGGCGCGCGGGCCGGGCGGCTCGGCGGCCTCGGCGGCCGTGGGCGTGCTGGCCTCGGCCTCCTTCTCCTCCTCGATGCTGCAGGGCGCTCCGTTGAGGTGCCGCGCGAGCAGCAGCAGCTCCAGGCTGTGCTCGGCCACGGGCGTGGGCAGCACGCTGTCCGCGGGGCTGTAGTTCTCGTCGGCGATGACGGCCACGCGCTCGCTGCTGTCGGCGCGCGCGCCGCGGGCGGCCAGCGCCTCGCCGTGCGACGCCGAGCGCACCGGCGTCGAGTGCGCGCTGTCGCGCAGCGACTCCAGGCCTGCCGGGACACGGCGGGAGAGGGGCCTCGGTGGGCGGCGCTCGGCACCGGCACTGCCGCGCGCCCCCCGCGCTGCTGCACAGCCCCCCGCTTGCTTCGGGCCGCACACCTTTGCTTAGGCGCTTCTTACATGCTTATTATGGTTGTATAGTTCAATAGGTGTTTAAATATACAGGTGTGTGTACATACACATATACATGTGCATATGTATATAGGAATGTGTGTATGCATATATATATATATGTGTGTGTGTGTGTGTGTGTGTGTGTATAAACATACAGATATAGACACACATGCATATATGTGTGTGTGTATATATATATATATACACACACATATATATGTGTGTGTGTATTATATATATATTTATATATATATAATAATATACACACACACACACACACACACACACACACACACACACACATATATATATATGTATATATAAAGAGAGGGAGAGAGAGATAGAGAATCCCAGAATAGCTGAGGTTGGCAGGGAGCCCGATGGCTCACCCAGCCCCTGCTCCGGCAGGGACACCCGGAGCACGGGGCAGGCAGGCGGGTTGGGAGATCTGCAGAGCAGGAGCCTCCCGGGCAGCCCAGCCCAGGCTCTGTCACTATGATCGTGGTGTCTGTGTGGAGTTCTTCCTCACATGGAGATGGAAGTGCCTGGGTTTCCCCTTGCACCCCTTGGTGCTGGCGCTGGGGACGGTCAGACACCTCACGTGTGTGGGGACACCCGATGTGCTGCACGGGCAGCTCCAGGCGGTGCTGCTGCAGCGCGGGGCCTGC